AAAAAAAAAAAAAAAAAAAAACCTGCAGTTTGTTAGCGACCTGCTATTATTATCTCCATTTTACTATATGGAAACAATATAGAGATGTTAAGTAACTTGCCAAGAACGTATAGCTAATGAGATGTGGAACCTGGACATGAGCCTAGAAATTTGACTTCAAAGGCCATCTTTTTCATTACTACTCTCTACAGCCTTTAGCCCCATTTTAGAGAATTGGCTTATCCTTCTTCTTAATTCAAATGGTTTGCTAATAGGTTTCCTGGCCTAAAATAGTACCAGGTATCTAATAAGAATTCAGTGATATAGTGTCCCGTGTATGAACTCAATGAACTCAATGAGATAAATGTATCAGTTGATTAATAAAACTATAACTTAAAAATAATGAGATACTATTACTTATTATAGCCCCAAATATCATATATGGTACCTAAGTTCCTAGCCTTCTCGATGCAAGTATATATGAATAAATATCTTTCAAAAACTTTTTAACACATATTCAATATACTCTAAAATAATTCTGATATATTTATAATCTCTGCAATAGTACTTGCAAGATCCACCTATTTCTTCAGCAAATATTTGAGGTCCAACTATATGTCAGATGTTCTAGTTAGTTTAGATACAACCATAAAGTACTCCACCCCCCTAAAAATCAAATATAGCAGATGAGCTCCTGCCTTGAAGACCTTGCATTCTAAAGAAGAAGAGAGAATAATTGTGTCCTCTATTTCCTTCCCTTTTTCTTATCTACTCTACTTGACTTTAAGGGGGAAAGGAAAATGACAATAAAAAACATGTATGAGCCATAGTAATGACAGATCAGAATACAAATATGTAGTTTAATATAATAAAAAATAACCATATAGACTAACATTTAGTGCTCTTTATAAATCTAGTCTTTTGGAATATTAATATGTATTTTTTTAAAACTGACTTAGGAAACATTTTGTATATTTGGAGATAGGAAGAGCTGAGGAAAAGTTGCTTAAAAGATGAAGATGAGACGTAGTTTTCACTGGGAATTTGTTTTCTATTCACATGTTGGTTACATCTCTGAGGAAGAAGTGCACATATAGTCTGTTTGGTCAAATTTATTTTTCTGTAACTGTTGAAATTTCCTGATACTTTTTTTACCTTTGATTTCTTTCAAAACCATGTTGCTAAGTGCTGCTGACCTCAGTGCTTAGGGTTAGAAGGTTAAAAAGATCCTTCAAGCTCATCTAACCTTTT